CCCCAAAACCCCAAAACCCCAAAACCCCAAAACCCCAATTATTGATTAAAATATTGAAAACTAAATCTACCTGACTCTTTTGCCAAATTGATATAGTGTCTTTATCTCTTCCCCATTAGGCTCAGAGTATTTTCCAGCACCATGTTGAAGACTCTTGTGCCATAGACCTTCATAGACTCTCCCATCTGGCCATTTATAGGTCCCGATACCATCCATTTTGTTATTGCTCCATGAGCCGTTATATATTCTTCCATCAGGCCATCTGTAAATTCCTTTTCCTTCAATAATATTCATGTTAAATTCCCCTTGATAAACACTGCTATCTGACCAGATAAATTTGCCTTGACCATGCTTACATCCTTGCTTATATTGTCCTTGGTACATTGACCCATCTACCCAGTATTCTTTGCCTTGGCCATCCTGGAGGTCATCTTTCCAGCTGCCTTCCTGTAGGAATTAGAGGATAAACTTACATATTTGGTTCCATCAGAATGTATGTAGTCTCCATAGCCTGAAGCTTTGCCTTTCTCCCAAGACCCCTTATAAACATCACCATCTTGATGGATCAGCCTGCCTTTTCCATGAGCAAGGTCGTTTAGCCAATAGCCTTCATAAATGCTAAGAAAAGTTAGAGACTTTAAAAACCAAGATTTGGCTTACAAAGCGATGTCAGAGCTGGGTTGGTCCCCTTCTGCAGGATTATTGAGCGTCACCTGGATCCCCCTACCTTCTCTCATGTCGCCATTCCATTCTCCTAGGTATTTGGTGGTTCTTCCTTCTGTATCGGTACTAACGTATACTTTAGACATTGGGCTTTCCCCAGCTTTGATGAAATCTAAATTCTCGACCTGTATTCCTTCAGGATATTGGCATACATAGAAGTCGAATGGGCCCTCTCTGATAAAGATTTCTTCCAGGATCCTACTCTTAGGTATCCCAAGGAGCTGGAGATCAAACTCAGAGCGCTCTGAGCTCAATAACTCAGAGTTTTCACTTGTCTGTTTGGTATTCTTTTGTGAATCGTAAGTTTCCTTGCTGCACATAGCCTTTGAAGCCTTTCTGGGTACCACTATATCTGGCCTCTTAATGATTTCTTTATCAAACATTTTATTGTCTGGGCTGATATAACAGCATTTATTCCCCATTTTATTTTATCAATTCCATCAACTAGTCAAGGGGTTTTGGGGTTTTGGGGTTTTGGGGTTTTGGGG